TCTGCTATGGCCTGAGATAGCAGTAGAAGATGGCCCAAGTCCTTAGGCCCCTGCACCCATGTGGGAGACCCGGAAGAAGCTCCTGGCTCCTGGCTCCTGGCTCCTGGCTTCCGATTAGCACAGTTTTTTCTGGTGCAGCCAACTGGGGAGCTGAAGACACCACCTGAAAACATCTGAGCTCAAGTGTACGCATACAGTTGTCACCACATTATGATAATCTCAGTTAACTTACTGGAATCCACAACTAAATTTGTATACAAAGGACACCGTTTCTGAGTGCCAGGTACTGTGGGCAGATAACAGAAATACATAAACTGAGGGAGATGGGGAGGTAGGTGTTATGACACAGGTAAGCTGCCACCTGTGACATGAGCATCCCATATCTGATGAACCTTGGATCACATCCCCCTTCGCTCTCTCGGCTTCCTGATAAGATGCACCCTGGGAGGCAGCAGGTGTACGTGGGTCCCTGCCACCTACGTGGGAGACCAAGATGGAGTTTCAGGCTCCTGGCTGCTGCCTGCCCCAGCCCCAGCTGTTACAGGTGTTTATGAGGAAATCATCAGATGGAGATCTCTTCTCTCCTTCTCTTTCTCTCTGTCATTCTGCCTTTCAAATAAAAACTTTAAAAATAAATAAAATTTTTTTCAAAAAAGTAAAATCTAGGGGCTGGTATTGTGGCACAGCAGGTTAAGTCGCCGCCTGTAACGCCGGCATCCCATAGAGCACCAGCTTGAGTTCCAGCTGCTCCACTTCTGATCCTGCTCCCTGCTGCTGTGCCTAGCAGCAGAGGGCCCCAGTGCGTGGGTCCCTGCATCCACATGGAGATCCAGGTGGAGTTTCAGGCTCCCGGCTTCAGCCTGGCCCAGCCCGAGCCGCTGCAGCCATTTGCAGGAGTGAACCAGAAAATGGTTCTCTTTTTCTCCTCCTCTTTCTATCTCTTCCTCTCTCTCATTCTGCCTTCAAATACAAAAATAAATAAATCTTAAAAAAAAAATCTAGTGAGATAGATAGGCATTTGGCCTAATGGTTAAGATGCCACTTGGGATCCCCACATCCCATATCAGAGTACCTGTTTAGTCCCAATTCCACTCCAATTCCAGCTTCCTGCTAATGTGAACACTGGGAGACAGCAGGTGATGGCTCAAGTACTTGGGTCCCTGTCACCCACGTGGGAGATGCAAATGGAGCCCCTCACTCCTGGTTCTGTCTGGCCCAGCTCTAGCTGTGAGAGCACTGAGGGACTGAACTAGCAGAGCACAGCAGAGATCTGTCTGTCTCTCTGCCTCTCAAATAATTAATTGTTTTAAATAAGAGATTATGATTTTTCAGATATCTTTCCTTTTTTAAAGATGTATTTGTTTATTTGAAAATCAGAGTTACACAGAGAAAGGAGGAGAGGCAGAAAGAGAGGTCTTCCATCCGCTCATTCACTCCCAGTGCAACTGCTGGCCGCAATGGCTAGAGCTGTGCCCATCAGAAGCCAGGAACCAGGAGCTTCTTCTGGGTCTCCCACACAGATGCAGGGACCCAAGGACTTGGGCCATCTTCCACTGCTTTCCCAGGCCATAGCAGAGAGCTGGATCAGAAGTGGAGCAGCTGGGACATGAACTGGTGCCCATAAGGGATGCTGGCACTGCAGATGGCGGCTTTACCCGCTACACCACAGTGCTGGACCCAATCAAATTTTTTAAAAGATTTATTTATTTATTTGAAAAGAAGAGATACAGAGAGGCAGAGAGAGACAGATAGAGAGGCCTTCCTTCTTCTGGTTCATTCCCCAAATAGCTACAACAGCCGGAGCTGAGCCAATCTGAAGCCAGGAGCTTCTTCCAGGTCTCCCACATGCGTGCAAGGGCCCAAGGACTTGGGCCATCTTCTACTGCCTTCCCAGGTCATAACAGAGAGCTGGATTGGAAGTGGAGCAGCCAGAACTAGAACCAGAGCCCATATGGGATGTTGGTGCTGCAGGCAGTGGCTTTATCCACTACACCACAGTACCAGCCCCTAAATAATTAATTTTTAAAAGTCTTGGGAGAGAGGGCTGGCCACCTCTGACTCCTCCTTTAAAGCTTCCCTCTTAAAAAACAAGTAGGGTGAGCATTTTGGTGCAGGAAGAGGTTAAGATGCCACTTTGGAGATCCAGATTCCATATGCCCAGGTTCAAGTCCCAGCTGTTTCTCTCTTTCTTTCAATATTTGATAGTTTGGGATTTTTTTAAAGATTTGTTTATTTTTCAGAGAGAGAAAGAAATTTTCCATCCACTTGTTCACTCTCCAGATGTCTACAATGGTCATGGATGGGCCAGGCTAAAGCCTGGAGCCTGGAACTTTATCTACTCTCCCACATGGGTGGCAGGAGCCCAAGCTCTTGGACCATCCTTTGCTGCTTTCCAGGTGCATGAGCAGGGAGCTGGCTCAGAAGTGGAGCAGCTGGGACTTGAACCAGCACTCTGATACGGGATGTAGGAGTCTCAAGCAGTGGCTCAACCCACTGCACCACAATGATTTTTGAGATGTAGCCATCCCACGTGGCGCCTTAACCTCAGCTCTGTTTCTGATTCTGGCTTCCTGCTAATGTGCACTATGGGAGGCAGTAGGTGTTGGTTCAAGTAGTTGGATCCCTGCCACCCATGTGAGAGTCTCAAACTGAGTTTTTAGGTTCTGGCTTCAGCCTGGCCCTAGCCCTAGCTGTTATGGAATTTGGAGAATGAACCAGTGAAGCTCTCTCTCTGTCCTGTCTCTCAGATAAATAAAATCTAGTGGGACAAATTCCTCTCCCCATGATAAAATAAATAATAGACAGGAGTAGAGAGAAATGGAGAAGATGGTATTATCTGTTCAGGGCCAAATCATAGTAATGTGGTGTTCTTTGGGTTTGTATTTTTAAAAACCTAACTTTAGACTTGATGGATATCTACCACACACATTTTTCTGGCACCATCTTTGGGAAAGGGGCAGAGCGTTTGGCATAGTCATCTGGGGGGTGGTCACTGCTTTCAATGGCCCCAAGTTCTCTGTGAAGCACAAGTTTACTATAGAAGACTGCTTCTATTTCATGTGAATCTGAGAGTATGAAGTGGCAGGGGCACATGTTTGGCACAGTGGTGAAGGCGCCCCATGGGATGCCCCATCTCAGGTCAGAGCGCCTGGGCTCACGTGCCGGCCTCACTGCAGATTCCAGCTTCTCACCAACGTGCATCCGAGGAGACAGCAGATCATGGCTCAGGTGTTGGAGTCTGATACCCACGTGGGCATGGAGACCCAAGTTGGACTCCCTGCACTCACTCACACTCTCACTCTCTCCCTTTCTCTCTCATTGCCTTTCAATCAAATCAATTTTTTGTAAAGATTTGTTTATTTATTTGAAAGTCAGAGCTACACACAGAGAGAAGGAGAGGCAGAGAGAGAGAAAGAGAGAGAGAAAGAGAGAGAGAGAATCTTCCATCCACTGGTTCTCTCCCCATATGGCTGCAACACCCTGAGCTGGGCTGATCTGGAGCCTGGAGCCAGGAGTCAGGAGCTTCCTCCAGGTCTCCCATGTGGGTTCAGGTGCCCAAGGTCTTGAGCCATCTTCTACTGCTTTCCCAGGCCATATCAGAGAGCTGGATCGGAAGTGGAGCAGCCAGGACACGAACCAATACCCCTATGGGATGCCAGCACTACAGGTAGCAGCTTTACCCGCTACACCACAGCACTGGCTCCAAACAAATGTTTTTAAATATTTATTTATTTATTTATTTGAAAAGAAGAGTTGTTGCGGTGGATTTGTTCTGAGAGGAGGAGCGTGGTAGGGGCAAGAGGCTTGGAGTCACCACACAAACCCCGGGAGTCGGGTAAAAGGGGGCCAGAGGCGAGCAGCCTGCAGACTCATTTATTTCAGTTGGTACAGCGGCTTAAATAGCCAAGGCAGCCAATCCAGTCAAGGGGCAGTTTATGCCCTAACCAATCACAGCCTGTTGCCAGGCAGGCTCCATTTGCCATGTGGTTTCCCAAAGCCACTCCTGAGTAATTGACAATCGCTTTGCAGTGGCCATCTTAGCATGGCCTTCTCATTCCACCACAAAGAGTTATAGAGAGGCAGAGAGAGAGAGAGAGGGAGAGAGAGAGAGGGAAAGAGAGAGAGGGAAAGAGAGAGAGAGAGAGAGAGAGAGAGAGAGAGAGAGAGAGAGAAGTCTTCCTTCCTCTGGTTCATTTCCCAAATGGCCGGAACAACCAGAGCTGTGCCAATCGGGAACCAGGAGCCAGGAGCTTCTTCTAGGTCTCCCACACTGTTACAGGAGCCCAAGGACTTGGGCCCAAGCACTTGGGCCATCTTCCACTGCTTTCCCAGGCACACTACCAGGGAGCTAGATTGGAAATGGAGCAGCCAGGACTTGAACCTGCACCCATGTGGGATGCTGGCACTGCACATGGCAGCTTTGCCTGCTACACATCAGTGCTGGTCCCTCAATCAAATAAAATTTTTAAAAGAACATGAAGTAGTGTTTGAGTATCCAGAGTGTGGTATTTTCAAGTTTAGGGAAGAAAACACTTAATGAGATCCTGAAATCAGAAGAGGCCCTTGTGCTGCCGAGGCATGTAGTCTCAAAATGAAGCTAACGGCAGATGCTCCGAACTGTAAAACACACAACTGTGAAGTCACCAAACCCCACACGCATTCCCAGTGGGTAACATGATTCTCCCGTGGCTGCCCCTGCTCTCAGAGCCAGCCTCTGCACGTGTAGTGGATGCAGTAGGGAGCTGTGATCCCTACTGTGATGCAGTAGGGATGAGGCGGAGCTCTGCCTATCCTAAAGGTCGCGCCCCTGTCCAAGGGATGAACTGCAGCACACAAGGTCACCCGCTAGGAGCAGAGCTGAGACTCAAATCCAGCCCCAGTTTAGCTTGGCTCTGAGTGGCGTCTGTTCTACACGATGCATATGAGTATCATAAGGCAAAAGCCACAGCCCACTCTGGGTTGCTCTGGTTCAAGGGTACAGAGATACCATGTGTCCAGCGTATGGCAACACAGATGCAATAAATGCTTTAGTGAAGATAAAGCAAGGCAGGATCCCAGTGCTGGTGCAAACCCTGCAGGGCTGGCGGAGCCGATGGACTGTCTCCTCGCTGCTATAGCCTGAGACAGACCGCCTTGCCCCACAGGGCATCCGGGAAGAAGATGTAGGAGAGCGACCACAGGAGGCAGTAAAAAGCAGTGAGAGAGAACGGGGAGAAGAACATCATGATGACACCTGGAAGAAGCAAAGACGAGACTTCAGTTCTCTGGCGCTGTCTCCTGCCGTGTCTCCTCGCCGCCCTCCTCCATCTGTCACGCACAGCGCCCTGTCTTTAAGTCCAGCTTTATAGATCAGTATGACAACCTAATGGGATCTCAGGCTCCATTTGGGCCAATTCAGATCAGAGGTCAGTCCTAGCCAAGCGTAAGTTGCCTGGATCCCTTGTTAGGGAAACAAAAATCTTCCACGGAGAGCGCGTGTGGAAGTGCTAAGAGCGGAGGCCTGGGACTGAGCCTGCTCTGCCTAGGACAGCTGCTCACAAGCCTGCCCCTTAGCCGACGGCGGACACGTGCAGCAAAGCAGCTCCTAACACCCGCATACATTTCCCACCGCATGCAAGCGGCGCCTGCACCAGACGGTCTGTGCAAGCACAGTGTCTGCGCTGAACACCTGCTTCCCTTCAGGGAGCCCAGAATGTTGATGCACGTGGGGCAGAGAGTGCCTGGGTGGCCAGCACTCCCCGCCCCCCCGCCCCGCGCAAAAGTCGGGCACTCAGGCCTCCTGTGAGCTTCCCTGGCAGACCACACACACTTCCCGCACGCTATCACGATTCCATGCTGGAGGAGCCACATGCACCCGGGGTGCCCCGCTGGGAGAGGACTCTCAGAAGCTTGCTCCTGGCCTCCTCTGAACTTGGCCTGGGCAGCTCTTCCCTCGACTGCGTCTGATGTGATGGACCTCACCCACGGAGTCAGTCTGAGAAGGGCTACATGCTGAGTCCTCGCAGCAAAGCACCAAACCCGGGCTGGGGACAGCGGGGGTGGGAAGGTTCTGGGCACTCCCAGTCCACTCTGAATCTCAGCTTCACCACCGAAAGGCACAAGGGATGTCCGAATCCCCACACTGGGCGTTCGGTGGATATTGCACATAAACGGTTCCCTTCGCATTTCAGTGCCCTGCGATTCAGAATTACGTCTGTTTGTGAGGTGAGGAAGTGGACAGGAGGTACCCTTGGCTGCCTGACTTTAGACCATTACACTGTCAGGGGAGTATTCCAGGGGAGTAACCACCAATAAGAGAACCAGAACACAGGATCCGACACAAGCCCACCCAAGGGATGCAGAGTAGCTGAGGGCAGGGACTGCCATTCTGGGGGTTCTGCATTTTGAGAACAGTCATTGACCTGTGAGGCAAGTTCGGGGGTGTATTTCAAACCTGGGAAGTACATGACGAGGGCTCAGAAGCTCTCAGGGGGAGAGGGGACCCCTCTCTAAAATGGTGAGTGGTTTACCCCAGGCAAGAGGAACAGCAGTTGCTTTGCGATTCACCTGTAGGGCTGGTGTTAGTTACTCCACAGCAGAGCTAAGGCCAGGAGCGCAGCTCATGTGGAGCAGAGAGGGTCAGGAGTATCTACAAGGGCAAAGAACGCTGTGGGCAACATCATTGCTAAAACCTTGCTATGACATAGGAGAACGGCAGGTGGACAAGCAAATGGGGGCTGGAAATTACCGTTCACAGCGCACATGTGCACCAGAGGAGTCACATTCGTGATCCCATTTAATATCAATAATCCTGCAAGATAGGGACCACTGCCCTCACTTTATAGGCAAAGGAAATTGAGCTCAGAACAGTGGGGTATTAGTCCAAGTTCACACAACGATTATGTGCTGCCAATAGAACCTGAACCCAACTCTGCTTGGCTCCAAGCCAGCTTTTCCACTCCGCCATTCTGCCTCCATCACCAAGGGTACTGGAGGGACCAGCACCTGGAACCTGCCAGGGTTGTTGATGCTGACACCAAGAAAGGTGGAACCCAGAGCTGCTGTTAGGCGCAGCAGGTTAAACCACCACTTAGAACGCCAGCAGCCCATATGCTTGCTGGTTCAAGTCCCAGCTACTCTGCTTTCTATCCTCCTATTTCTGCTAATGCACCTGGGAAAGCAACAGAAGATGGCCCAGGTACTTGGGCCCCTGCCATCCACGTGGGAGACCAGCTTGGTGTTCCTGGCTCCTGGCTTCAGCCTGGTCCAGCCTTGGCTGTTGAGGCTGTGAGAGGAGTGAACCAATAGTTGGAAGACCTCTCTCTCTTTCTCTCTCTCTCTCTCTCTCTCTCTCTGTGTGTGTGTGTGTGTGTGTGTGTCCCTCTCTCTGCAGTTCTGCCTTTCAAACAAATAAATCAATCTTTTTTTTTTTTTTTGAGGATGCAAACCTTAAGGGGAAGGTCAGGATGGAACTGAGGACCCTACAAACTAGACTGGACTCACCAAAAGGGAGAAAGGGGGAACCTGGTGTCCCCATAGATGTGTGTCTTGTTTACATGAGCACATTTTAAAATAAGGAAAACAGGTGTTCCTTGGAGGCCCCAAATCAGTGTGAACTCTAGGGAGGTATCTTCCAGGCCCCGTGTGAACCTAGAACCCAGAGTCGCCCACGGCCCCTCCTCCTGCCTCGATGTTAGTTCTGTTCCACCCTTCTCTCAAATCCAGTCACTACTCTATCTCCACTGCCGCATCACCTGGCATTGCGATATGTCATTGGTCTTCCCACCACTGTTCTCCATCCCCACAGTCTGTCCTCCCCGCCGCGGCCAGGTGACCAGCGACATCATTTCCCTGCCTCAGTCCCTCCCGGGGCTTCTCGTTTGCCTTGGGGAATAGGGTCCCCATCCCACGTGGTCTGCCAGCTTCGCTTGCCTCTATTTGTGTCACTGGCTGTGTCCGGGCAAGTTCCAGATGCCCTGTTCCACCAACACAGCAGCGTCTTCTGCCCTCAGGCCTCAGGGCCCCCACAAAGCACTGCTTCCTCTCCGGCACTGCCTCCTCCTGCCCACTGGCTGTGCGTCTTGCAGGTCTCCCTTAAGTGCCATCTCCTAAGGACCCTGTCTCTGCCGTCAGGTCATGCCACTGTAAGTTAGGTCACCCCCGGCACCCTTTCAGCACAACCTGTGCTCCCACAGTACCTTAACACAGGGTGTTTCCAGCTATTCCTAACCGTTTCTTGTTTACCATCTGTCTCTCCGGCCACACCATCAGTCTAGGTTATCAGTCTGATTCCCAGTACTTGACACATGATAGGTGCTCTAGGTGCTCCCTAAATTTCACCGAGCTCGTCAGCATCCAACAAACACTTACTGAGCACCTACTATGTGATTAGCCCAATTCTAGGCGTTGGGATGACAGCCCGACTAAAAGGCAGGCCTCTGCTGGGGTAGAGCTGCTGATCGGTTCCACACAGCACAGGATAAGGAGACCGGGAAGGCCAGAGTGAGGCGTGGGTGGCGACCAGTGGCAGTGATAGCGAGCGACCGCCGGAGACGGGAGAGCGGCCCTGCACTCACCTCCCATGTACACCACCTTCTTCCAGCTCTCCGACTCCAGGATCTCGTCTTGGGGATAGGAGCTCTGGTCGATCATGAAGAGGATCATCAGCGAGGCCATGCAGCTGAGGATGAAGGTGTTGCCTTTGGTCAGGAGCGAGGTGGAAGCCAGGACGCAGGAAGCGTAGGGGCAGGGCAGCCCCTTGTAGGACGCGGGTGCTCCTCCTGGGGGAGACAAGCACAGGGCTCAGCCGCTGGCCCTGTGGAAAGGCGTCCACACGAGGCCGGCCCCTGCGTCTTCGGGTCTTCCCTCCCCAGGCCACAAAGTCCCCTTCCAGCCGGCGCCAGTGGCAGGCTACACAGCCTTCTGCTTGCGGTTCCCAAGGGCAAGCAGGCAGCCAGCGGGGAGCCGGGGATGTCTGCTGGAGGCTCCGGGGGGGTTCTGAGCGTATCTGCATGCTTTGCTCCACCCGGATGTCCCACAGTGAGGAAGGCATAGCTGTCCCAGGCAGTGAGTCCCGCCTCCCAGGGCAGGCTTCTGCAGTGCAGCCCACAGCCTCCTGTGGGCACAGAGCATGGGGGAAGGAAGCAGGGACCCCTCCAACAAACGCGACGGCGCCTCCCCTCCGTGGGCCCCTGCCCTCCGTCCTGAGGCCACCGAGTCCACTCACCAGTTGGACAAAAGCACAGGCGGAAAGAAGCGGCTAGCACATAGATGATGGCCAGGAACCCATTCAGAGGCCCATCCACGCCTAGGAGCAGGGCCGAGGCCAAGCCGAAGGTGGTGAAGACAGCAAAATCGTTCAGCTCAGCTCCTGCTCCAGAGGCCCCCGGTTAGAACGCACACTCCCCTGGCTGGCGCCCTAGTGCCCCTCTGGTCCGGAAGCTGGAGTCCTCAGGCCCCAGGGGGCAACAGCGGCTCCCTGGGGCGGTCTGGGTCTCCCCCCAGCTCTGCCTCCGATTGGCCGTGTGCCCTTCAGCAGGGCCTAGCTTTCCCATCCTTCAATATGCAAGGGCTGCACTTGAACGACACACAAACCGGTGGGACCCCCTCCCCAAGCCACATCTTGCACGGGAACATTTGTGCTTCAAGCCAGCCACGTTGCTTGGGAGATTTTTTTCTCTCTACACTTTACGCTTCTACCCCCACTCCAACATCTGGACCGTCCCAGCTGGGAGAGGCTGGGCAAGCATGGCCCCTGAAGGCCAGGGCAGGACAGGGAGCAACCACAGATGGGTAAGTGAGCCCACAGAGGCGCTGGAGCCAGATTGTGCAGCTGCCTGGCTCCTGCCCCAAGGATGTGAGCAGGAGTGGGTGACAGGTGCAGGCCAGTGGAGTGTCAGAGGACGGGGTGGTGACCTGATGGGTGCCCCCAGGGGCAGGGATTAGGAGCCTGGGGTCTGCACTCACCCAGCTTGGAGCAGACAGGGAGGTGTCTGGTCATCGTCCCGATGATCGTGTCTAACAGGAAGCTGATCAGAAGCATCCAGGAGGCACACTGGGGTTTCCTGCAGCGCAGGCCAGCAGGCCCCAACAGGCGGCCCTTTCATGGTCTCCACTGGGCAACCCCACCCCACACACCTGTACCCTTCCTACACGTGTCCTGTGTTTGCACATCTCCCACACTCACGTCCTTTCTGCTCTAAACTTGGTACACCTGCCGTACGCACATACTCTTAACCCACAATCACGAAGAGGTGCCCTGAACTCCTCATCAATCACTAAGGACCCACCCAGCTCTAAATTCCAGATATGTCGGATGGCACAGCCTCTGCACCATCTCACTGTGGGCTCTCAGATAAATCACAACCCCCTCTCTAGGCATCTGTGGCCCCATCTATAAAACAAGGGTTGATTTTTTTTAATGGATCTAAACCTGTTCAGATAACCTCCTTCCCCGGTGTGGATTTAAGTAGCTCGTGTCTTTTAAGGAACTGATCCATCTCATCGGGGCTACCAAATTTGTATGCCTAGAGTAGTCTGTGGTTTTCCTTCATTATCCTCTCATTGTTGGTGGGACCAGTAGGGATGGCCCTACTTTCATTTCTGACTGATAATTTGTGTTTTTGTTTTTTCTTGGTTAGCATGGCTAGAGGTATATCAACTTTATCAATCTTTTCAAAGAACTAGCTTTTGGTTTCATTGATTTTCTGTTTCCTATTTTGAATTAATTTGATTGCAGCTCTACTTTTTATTATTTCTTTTCTTCTGCTTGCTCTGGGTTTAGATTATCCTTCTTTTTCTAATTCCCTGAGGTGGGAAGCTTAGATGATCAGTTTTAGGTCTTCTTTTCTAATCTATGCGTTCAGTGCCATCAGTTTCCCGCTACATGCTGCTTTCCCTGCATCCCACAGACTTTGCTAAGTTGGATCTTCATTCTCATTTAGCTCAAAACACTTGTAAACCTCTCTGGAGACTTCTTTTATGTGTCATTTAGCAGTGTATTGTTTGTTCTCTGAATATTTCAGGACTTTGCATCTTTCGGTTACTGATGTCTAGTGCAGCCATGTATGGTCTGAGCGCATCCTTTGTGTGGTTTCTACTGTCTTCAGTTTGTTGAGATGCATTTGCTGACCCCGAGTACGGTCTTCTTGGTGAATGTGCCAGGTGGAAAGTGTCACCCGCTGTTGTTGGCGTGACGGTGCCGTCAGTTCAGCCGTGTGCTCGCGTCTTGTCTGCAGCTCTGAGAGTGGATTTGCTCATTCTTCTCACTGTCCTATCAGCTGTTGTCTCCCGGGCTCTGTGCCCTCTGTGAGTCCCAGGATTCTTGCAGACCCCACACTGCTGGATTCTGTGCCTCTGTCCACACACGCACCCAGGTCCCTTGGAAAGCAGCTGCCACAGTCCCAGGCAGACCTGCCCCAGGAGACCCATTCTCAGACCTGCGGCCTGTTTGCAGCTGGCCCGGCAGAAGCAGAGAGCCTGGCTCCAGATCTCAGCGGTCCCCAAGCCAAGTTCAGCATTTCCTTTGTGTACATCCAGACCCACATATCTAGAGGGGCTAAGTAAAAATCCTGGACCCACCACCATGGCATTAAAGCCCATACTCCGAGCAGACTTACTTGTCTGAACTAAGAAGATAGCGATTTTTTGCTACAGATGTGCCTCACCTTACCATACTCTAAAAACCCAGACTAAGAGGATGAGCAAAATTTCAAGCTGGATGGGAGCAACACCTGGTAAAGTCTCCTTCTGTTGTGGATGAGAAAGACCCAGAGATGCTGTGGTTATGGAGAATCAAATCAACGAGGAGGGTGTTGTTTGTATTACAAAGGATTCTCCTTACAGAGCTAATTCCCACAGGCATTGAAATGTGACTCTGTCCACAGAGATATAATTTACTTGCAGCTTTTGGGGGGCACATATACATGCCTCAGACTTCCCAGAATAGTGCCAATTGCAAATATTGTGCAGGCGCATGCATTCTAGTTTAAGAAGCAGAAAACATATTAACAGCAGCCGACCCAGGGTTGCAGAAAGGCCACCAGGACAGAATCCTTTTGTGCTCACAAATGCTCTTCTAGACTGCCATAGCTGAAGGCACTAGGGAGATGAGAATGCAGGCTCCCTGTTTCACAGGAGGAGAGACTGAGGCCAAGGCCACATACCAGGTGGGTGTCAGTAAGGCTCGGGGCCTGGGCCCTGACTCCCAGGCCACTGCCCCGCTCCCCAGTGGGTCCCTGACTCACTGCTCCGCTAAGCCAGCTTCATTCACCAAAGGTTATCAGTAGCTGCCTGGCCAAAGCCATCAGGACCCTCAAGAACTTCTTATGCCAGGGCCCCTCAAAACCCAATACAGGAAGCAAAGCAGGCCAGGGAAATCTGGGGTGGGGGAGGGGGTGGGGTTAAGAGGGAGAAGAACTGGCCGTGCACTCTCTCCCTATGACTCACTGAGTGGTCTCTCCTGGGTCTCAGTGCCCCTTCCTCCCTCTTCCCTCATGTCATTGGCTCCAGCTCTTGGCCAAGAGCATGCTGGGTCCCAGACTTACCTGCTGAAGCTGCAGAAGATGGAGAAGAGCCCCAGGACCATGTTGGCCAGGGATAAGGCATTGGTAATATCCTTCCAGGAAAGTTCACTTATCTGGGAGTGGTTGTGTTCATTGCTCAAGGAGAAAGAGTTGCACTGACCTGGGCCCCAGGAAAGAAGGGCAAGGAGTTCCCAAGGTCAAGAAGTCCAAAAAAAAAAAAAAAAGGTTCCAGGAACCTGGTACTCACATTCCCTTAGACCTCATGCCAGAGCAGCAGCCTTCCCCGCCCTGGTGCTCTGGCTGGACTAAGGGAGAAGGAGTAGATGGAGGGGACACAGGAGGTGAGGAAAGAAGATGGACAATACCTGGGAAAGTGCAGGCAAATGGAGTGAATGGACACAATCCCAGCGTGCACTCTGTCTCTCACACAACCCCTTGCCCCACAGCACAGACACCCCCAGCACATATGCTGACCCCCCAGCACCTCCCTGGCCAGGACAAGAGAGGTACAGGCCCTCCCCACTGAAGAGACAGGTCTTTGTCGTGCACTTAGGGCTGGCTTGAGAGAGCCGTGGAGCAGGAGCCCCCTTTGTCCTGCAAGCCGAGCTCACATCTGCAGAAGCCTAGGGCTGCAGCTGAGGTGCCCCAAGTCCCTGACCAGAAGAGCAGGCCTACCTCCAGCCTCCAACAGGAAGACGTGAAAGGCGGAAAATGAACACACACGACACCCAACAGTCCAAAAAGCACATGCAGGTATTCTTACGTCGGATCCCGACGACCTGCTGAGATGGCTAGAATCCTCCCCCGTGCATGAATGAGGAAACCGAGGCTCAGAGAAATGCAGGTGTTTGCTCAAAACCACACACTAAGCCCGCAGAGACAAAGCCCTGTTCGGCTCTAAGTCTGCTGGGGGCACAGAAGCCAGCAGGAGGAAGCCTGCAGGACAGGCACAGGGAGGGGGCTCAGGCGACCAGGTCTGCTGCATGGTACTGCAGGCCATGGCCAGGCCTCCCCAAGCCACCCAGTCTCTCCCGGTGCAGAGAACCATCTGCACAGGCTGTCTCGTCTGTGTTCACTCAGGCTGAATGTGTGAATCCCTCACCCAGAAACTGCCTGTGAAGCAGAGGGCCTTTTGGAGAAACCCCGGTCCTCTGAAACAGAGAAGGCCCTCTGGCTGGGGTAAAACACACCAGTCACAAACAGGGATTCTGCACTTGAGCAAAACACACAAGTCCCAAGGTCTCCCATGCTGTCTGCTCGCTTAGCCCCCCAACAGCAGAGGTGAAGGAAGTCGGGCTCCGCCTGCATCCAGCCCCTCTGCAGCCCCAGACCCTTCCAGTCTGCGTAGGAGTCAACCAAGTCATGTTCCTTTTCCATAAACCCTGCCACCAAGATGTCAGAGGCTTGGAGCGGCTGCACTTGGGGTTTGGGACTGAGGAGTTTCTCGGGGCTCACTGCCCCACAGGCCAGCCTCGAGCCCCACAGGGTATCACCAGCTGCATGGCCAAAGCCATCCTTCCAAGGCTTTCTCATGCCAGGGCAGGAGGCAAAGCAGGCCCGGGAAGTCTGGGAGGGGAAGGAAGCCAGACCTGGCTGCACACCTTTCTGCGTGAGCCCACCATGGCTGTCTCTCCTGGCTGTCAGGGCTGACCTCAGCAGGACCAATCACCTGTGCCAGGTACCTCGTCACCTGCCAGCCTAGGAGTCAGTCTTCCCATGACCAGGCACTGCGACACCTGCATGCCACTCCACACCTGTGTGATTTACTGTATCATCTCTCTCACTGCAACCTCCATTTACCAAGCACTGCCGCATCCAGGATTTCCCTTGGCCCTGGGAACTCTGCCAGACAAGCGTCGTTGTCCCTGCTTCCTGGGCAAGGCAAAGACCAAGAGAGGGGAGGAGCCTATTTCAAAGTCACACCAGAAGTGGAGAGCAAGACTAAGTGCCCTGCTGGCTGCCAATCAACAGGCCTGTACAGCCTACTGGCCGTATGCTCAGCCTGAGCCAGACGCTGGGAGGGCCCTCGTGGAATGTACAGACCACCCGTGGGAAATGAGACTCGAACATGTGCACGGACACTCGCAGACTCTGCTCACGGAGGCCCCTCGGGGTACAGATGGGGAATAGGTTTCAGGACAGCTAAGTCCCAGTAAATCATGGAGCCAGGATTGGAACCGGGCCTCCTGTTTCCCAGCTGAGTACTACCTGCAGCCTAACGCACAAGTCCCAGGCATGAAGGGACATGGGGTCACCAGCAGGGGCTGTGAAAATCTGTATTAATAAAGAACAACCCGGCTAATTAAGCAATCATCCAGTCGCAAGCAGCATTTGGTGCCTGGTGCTTGGGACACAGGGAGGATGAAGACATGTTCTCATCTCTGAAGAGCAACCAGCGCTGCACAGACAGGAAGTGGCCAGGCAGCCGAGGGGGCACCAGGGGCACAGCCTGCCAGCGGGCGAGAGGGCTTACCGCAGGAGGGGCGAGCTGACGCTTCGGCCAGCCTTGGCCCACAGGAGCACATCCCGTCACTCCCTAGCTTCCTGAAGCCCACGAGATGGAGTCCAAGTCCTTCACTGCCACTGTGGCCCTACCCAACCCTCGTACTTCCTCTCTCTGGTCCCTGGGCCCCTTCCCCAGCCTTCCCCTACCCCCCACCCCCGCCCGCAGCCTGTTAGGTGCTCCTCCTCTGTGTGGTCACATCCCCTTGTGCTCACCGTGTGACACTTGGCAATCGGTACTGACTTCGCCTACCTTGTCATCTTCCTCTTTTGCTACAGGGGATGCAACTTGAGTGCAGACGGAGGTCCCCTGGGGCCAGTATGAGGCCTGACAATAGAAGTCATTCAGTGTTTATTAAATGACTATTGTGCGTCAGGCTGGCACTTCCCCGGGAGCCTTGCACTGGACCAAACCCTGTGTACCCTGCCTCCAGCCTGTTCAATGCAGCCTCCAAGAGGCCTTCTTGGAGCTGGTGTTGTGGCACAGCAGGTTAAATCTCCACTTGGGATACTGACATCCCATATCGGAGCGACTTTTGAAGTCTCAGCTGATCCACTTCCAATCCAGTTCCCTGCTAATGAACCTGGGAAAGCAGCAGAGGATGGCCCGAGTACTTGGACTCCTACCACACACATGGGAGACCCAGATGCAGCTCCACTGGGGGAGTGAACCAGAGGATGGAAGATTTCATCTGTCTCCCTCTGACACTCAGCTTTTCAAATAAGTAAATCTTTAAAAACTTTTTTTTCTCAAATGAACTTCAAGAACCAGCTACCCAGTCCTTGCGTTCTTCCACTTACTCATTTAAATGTTTGTTCTGATGTCTGGCCGAGTGTGTTTGGGGGACAGAGGACCACGAGCCAGCCTGCGCCCTCTATAGGCTGAGTCTGGTAGGGGAGGCAGCTGGGTGTAGGCACAGGTGTTAAGTGCGTCCGGGGACATTCCAGCTGCCATGCGTGCACCGGGAAGGAGAGACTAAGTCTGCAGTGGGGACAAAGGAAGGTCCCATCAACGCCGTGACAGTCAGCAGGGTGGCTAACAGTGTGTGGAGGGAGGGGGTATTCTGGGCAGCGTTATGGCAGGTGCAGAAGCACAGCAGGGAGCAGGTGCCACTGGCGGTGGGGTGGGCGGGGCGGCCGCAGGTCAAGGGTGTGCATAGGCGACCTTGACTGAGGCTGTGGGAGAGCAGTGATCAGTGTCCCTGTCAGATACTGGTCGGGAGCAGAGGGTGTCCTGGAGCGACAAACTGGAGAAAAGGAGGCATGAAAGCCCTGACTGGGGCGAGAGATGTGAGCGAGGGGGAGGCAGAGTCGGCGCTGAGCAAGCGGGCTTGACCAGGACTCCACGGTTCCCAAAGGAGGGCGCTGCGGGCGGGTTCCTCGCCGGGAGACGGCACCACGCGAGCGGTCTCCGTGCAGCATCCGGCCGGTGGCACTTGGCGCCAGGCCGCGGGGCCTCGCTCCCCTGCTCCCCACGCCGCTCCTGGCGCACCCGCCCCACCTCGGGCCACCCAGGCCAGGACTTCCGCGGAAGACGCAGGCGCCGCCGCCGCTCACCTGGGGGCAAGACATCCCTAGATGGGTTTAGGCCCGCGCTGCGTCCCCTGCCTGTGCGGTGGAGAGGCCGCCCCGGGCGAGAGGACGCAGCTCCAGACCAAGCCTCTTGGCCCTGACTCTTAGCTCACAATCCCCGGGAGCAGGGGAGGGGCTGCGGGCCTTTGGCAGGGTGAGAGGGGCCTCAACTTTCAGGGGTATGCGGGCCTGGAGGGGCCGCTCCCTGGGTCTGGGAGGACCTGGGAAGCTTCGCAGGCAACGGGACCCCAGCGCACAGCCCCAGTCGCAGAGCACGGGGCGTGGAGGTGGGCAGAGGGGATGACTTGGCCGGGAGGGACGTGGGCGAGGGGGAAGCTGGCTTCCCACTGGTTAGGGCCGGCGAGCAGCAGCGGCAGCACCACACGGCCGTGCCTGGTGCGGCTGGCTTCTGGGCGGTTCTCTGTGCTTGGCTCTAGATCTGTCAGATGGATGACCCAGCCCTGAAGATAATGTTTTCTTTGTATTTATTTTCATTGTTCTATTTGAAGGGGGGGGGGGTCTTCCATTTGATGGTTCACTCCCCAGTTGGCCACAACAGCCAGAGCCAGACCGATCCAAAGCCAGGAGCTTCTTCCAGATCTCCTACACAGGTGTAGGGACCCAAGGACTTGGGCCATCTTCTGCTTTCCCAGGACATAGCAGAGAGCAGGAACCGACTCAGGACTGAGCGTGGTGTGTGGGTCGGCACAGCAGGAACACAGGGAGTACTGCGAGAGGCCTCACACAGAACCTTGGCAAGAAGTGCGGGTGTAATGCTAAGTGTAATGAGAACTCTTGGAGCTTTTAAAGCAGAAGTGCTGTGATCTGACTTACAGTCTCCATGGCTGTAGACTGAAGGAGGGCGGGTACTGCACCAACCCAGGCTGCAGTGTTGATGGCCCGGGCTCAGGGCAAAGGGTGGATATGGGGAGGAGCCATCGGAGTCGGGACAGATTTTGAAAGCAGAGCTGAGATGACTTGCTGCTTAGTGTGGGCAGAACAAATGGAATCAAGGTCTTCAGCCTCCACAACAGTGGGGGACAGGGGCCAACGGACATGAACACTCAAGAGATTAGTTGTGGACAAATGAAATATGTAACGAGGAGCTGGTACTGTGGCATAGAAGGCTAAGCCTCCGCCTACAGTGCCAGCATCCCATCTGGGTGCTGGTTCGAGTCCCGGCTGTTCCACTTCTGACACAGCTCTCTGCTATGGCCTGGGAAAACAGTGGAGGATGGCCCAAGTCCTTGGGCCCCTGTACCCATGTGGGAGACCCGGAAGAAGCTCCTGGCTCCTGGCTTCGGATCAGTCTGGCTCTGGTTGTTGCGGCCATTTGGGGAGTGAACCAGCAGATGGAAGACCTCTCTCTCTCTGTCCCTCCCTCTCTCTCTCTGTATCTCTACCTCTCAAATAAATAAAATCTTTTAAAAATAAAATGTTTATTTTGGTGCAAAAATTTTGAAATCCCATGCATAGATTTCTGATAATATTCATTTTCCATGAACTTTTTAAATATTTACTTGAAAATCATAAAAGAGAGAGAAACAGAGATTTATCTTCCATCCACTGGTTCACTCCCCAGATGGATGTAATGGCCAGGGCTGGGGCAGGTTGAAGCCAGGAGCCAGGAGCTTCTTCCAAGTCTCCCATGTGGATATAGGGGCCCAAGTACTTGGGCCATCTTCTGCTGCTTTCCCAGGCGCACTAGCAGGGAGCTGGATTGGAGGTAGAGCAGTTGTGATATGAACTGGCTCCCATATGGGATGCGTCATCACAGGTGGCAGCTTTACCTGCTGGGCCACAATGCCGGCCCCTCCAGGAGCGTTCTGAGTACCCCATGTAAGTCCCCTGTATGCCATCGCTGCACACTCGGGGCACCTACAGCTATAGTGTCTCACATGCACGTCTTCCTCTCTCCTGTCTGTAATTTAACTTTGTCGTTATCGCCACATTGAGATAACAACGTAGATTGGAAACAGAGACTGTCTTCATCAGGCAAAACAGGATGAAGGTTATGACTAGAATGTAACAAACATGACTCTGCTTCTACGACTTTTTACCAGTAAAACCATGGGCCAGTTTCCGACTCTGCGGATCTTTGAACTCCGTAAAACAGGAATACTGCATGCCTCATTGATGCAGGGTTTTGTGAGGATTAAATGCAATAATGGACACATTTGGCAGAATAAAGGTTCACTAGGGGCAGCTGTTTGGCCTAGTGATTAAGATACCATTAAGGATGCCCGCATCTCATATTGCAGTGGCTGGGTTCAAGTCCCAGGTCTCCTTCCACCATCCTGCTAACATGCACCTGGGAGGCAGCAAGTGATGGCTCAAGTGGTTGGGTCCTTGCCACACATGTGGGAGACCTGGATGCAGTTCCCAGCTCCTGGCTTCGGCCTGGCCAAGTCCTAGCCACTGTGGCCATTTGGCAGATGAGAACATTCTTTCTATCTTGTGCTCTCTGCCTCTCAAATTAAAAAAAAAAAAAAAAAGCTCACTACACAGTTTTTGTTTTGTTTTGTTTTGTTTTTTTGACAGGCAGAGTTAGACAGTGAGAGAGAGACAGAGAGAAAGGTCTTCCTTCCATTGGTTCACCCCCTAAATGGCTGCCATGGCAGGCGCGCTGTGCCAATCCGAAGCCAGGAGCCAAGAGCTTCCTCCTGGTCTCCCATGCGGGTGCAGGGCCCAAGAACTTGGGCCATCTTCCACTGTACTCCCGGGCCACAGCAGAGAGCTGGACTGGAAGAGGAGCAACCAGGACAGAATCCAGTGCCCCAACCAGAACTAGAACCTGGGGTGCTGGCGCCGCAGGCGGAGGATTAGCCTAGTGAGTCGCAGCGCCGGCCACTAGACAGTATTTATCATTGTTGTTTCTACAACATCAATGCACTCAATGTTTGTGGACGGATAGTAACTGGAGAAAGTAAGGACACAAGCAAGCCCTCCAGTCCTCCTAGACCTCTAGGGTGGACAGAGGGCGCCCCAGGCAGCTGGACAGGGCCAGCAAGTGGAATAAGCAAACACAGGTCACTAGACTCTGGAAAACAAGATGTCGCCCTCTCCCATACCGGGTTGCAGGGATCCCATACATTCACACCAGAAACTGAAGCGTACCTGACTCCTCATTCCCCTGCATCTTGCTGTTTAACAAGATGCCAATCTATTGTACTTTCAAAATGCACGCTCCATCAAATCTAAATGGCACCTGCTGTAAGACACCACTATTTTATGTAGCACCAAGGAAGACAGACAGACTCTGCCACTTAAACATGCCACTGAGTTTCAGAAGCACCCAGGTCTGAGAGACGCTGAACGCGCGGAAACGAAAGCACATCTTCAAGTGAGGAGCTCTGGCACCCCCCGTTCTGCCACTGCTTTTGTTCAGAGCCCATCATCTCTCGCTGGCCTGGGGACAGAGGTGCCTAATGGTCTTCCCTTCATCCTGCCTCTGCTGCCGAAGTGAGGGTTCTGGGTTTTTTTCTTTTCTTCTTTTTTTTAAGACTTATTTATTTGAAAGGTAGAGTTAGAGAGAGCGTGACATCTTCCATCCACTGGTCCCCTCTCCAAAAGGCTGCGATGGCCATGCTGAAGCCAGGAGCTTCTAGATCTGGGTTACCCACATGGGTGCAGGGGCCCAAGCACTTGGGCCATCTTCTGCTGCTTTCCCAGATACATTAGCAGTGAACTGGATCACAAGTGGAGCAGGGGCTGGCTCTGTGGTGCAGCGGGTTAACGCCCTGGCCCATATGGGCACTGGTTCTATTCCTGGCTGCTCCTCTTCCAATCCAGCTCTCTGCTATGGCCTGGGAAAGCAGTAGAAGATGGCCCAAGTCCTTGGGCCCCCGCACCTGCGTGGGACACCCGGAGGAAGCTCCTGGTTCCTGGCTCCTGGCTTTAGATAGGCGCAGTTCTGGCCATTGAAGCCAATTGGGGAGTAAACCAGTGGATGGAAGACCTCTCTCTCTCTCGTCTCTCTCTCTCTCTCTACCTCTCCTTCTCTCTCTGTGTAACTCTGACTTTTGAATGAATGAACCAGTGCCCATATGGGATGCCATTGTTGCAGGCAACAGCTTAACCCACACTGCACAATGCTGGCCCCCAAAACTGAGGTTTCTAAAAGACCAATGCTACCAACTCCATCCCCGAATCCTTCCTCAGTTCCCCACCCATGGTGCCTGAGCCATCGTCTTCACCTTGGACTCGTCCTTGTCCCCCACATGTCTTATCTGGAATGGCTTTTCCTCCCCTTTTCACCTCTCCCTGGGGACAGAGGTGCCCAGAGGTGCCTGTCAGAAATGAGCGTTTCCTGGCCAGGATGTGTGTCACTCTACCCCTCCCGATGACCAAGATTCCTCTGGCCGATGCAGTTTGTTACTAGGATGCCCCCTTTCTTCATTTACAAACAAAGGTCATCCAAAAACAAACCCTAAAGACAGTCTTCCTACAGAGAGGACACCGGGAGCCCCCAAGAAGTTCTAAGTCTTGCTTGTTTTTCAGCACCCAGTCAGGTGTCAGGTCCTCCAAGAAGCCCTTCCAAACCCCCAGGCTGAGTCAGGGACCCTGAAGTGCTGCCACAACCCATGCCTGCCTCTGTCACAGTCCATCACCACACTGCAACTGTCGGCTGGCTTCTCCCCTCTGGACCAGAGCTCCTTGGAAACTCAGCTGTTTTCCCCAGAACCTGGAACCCGGACAGCACTTAATACTTAGGAAATTACTGGGGGATGAAGAGTGATTGCCGGGGCGGTGTTGGCAGGTGCTGGCAGGCGCTGCAGTGCAGCAGGCTAAGCTGTCCCTTGGGACGCCCCTGCCGCACAGGTTCTTAGTCCTGACTACTCTGTTTCCCATCCAGGTAATGCTAACGGGGCTGGGAACCAGCATATGACAGTTCCAGTGCTTGGGCCCCTACCACCCATATGGGAAGCCTGGATAGAGTTCTGGGCGCCCTACTTCAGGTGGTCCAGCCCTGGCCACTGCAGCCACTTGGGAAATGAACCAGCAGGTTGAAAATTCTCTCTCCCTCCCCATGCCCATCCCTGTTCACTCTGCTAACAAATAAATCTTTTTAAAAGTTATTACTGCACAGAATCACTGGATCCTAGTCCCTCATTCTAAGGTGCTGCATCTCAAAATCACCTCACTGCTACTGAATTTACTTCCCAAGTACAGCAATTGACTTAACCAGGGAAGCGCAATGGCACCCCCTGGTGGTCGGCTCAGAGAGTGCACCCATGGAACAGAGGAGCGTTCCTGGATCTCAATCTCCAGTTCCTCCAGGTTAGGACTTGTGATTAGGAGAGTGGAGGGGATTTGCATTTTCAAAACATCCAGTTAACGGACTGGAGGCGGGTGAGGCGGGTGAGGCAGAGGTGAGAAGTGACTGGGTCATGGCTGCCCTCATGAAGGGATTCACGCTGAGCCTGCAGTGTGTCAGGTCTCAGTGGTGTGGATTCGCTCCCACGAGAG